TTTGATCCAGTGACTATCAGCAGCATAAGTTTTCCCTCAGAGGCTGTTCTCCTACCCCGGCCACAATGTGCTTTTGCATGTTGACCTGCTATTTGGTTCCTGATGCTTTCCAAGCTGAGTTGAAACTGTGGCTAAAAGACATTAACCCTGCTCTAAAATGCTCATAGCCTGTCACACGCATCCCTCTTTTTTGCTGTTTTGGGAGTATGTAGGCAAATGCTTTCCTGTGTGTTATCTCATACCAGCTGACTGAGGGCACCAGAGCAAGTCAAAGCAAGACAAAGTCTGATCAATGTTTTTCCTCTAGATACACCTCGAAATCCAGCTAGAAGGGGATCAGCCATACAATAATTCATGATTACTAGCCCCACTAGAATTAATTCCTGCCATATCTTATCAAACAATCAGCCATGAGAGAAAATTTTCCCTACTGGAACATGCATAACTCACTCCAACTTTTGTGGCTGTGAACTGAAAGCAATTCTTTCTCCACTTTCCAATATTTGCTCAGGTGCAGCTTGGTTTCCACATGGACTGACTGAGGAGAACCTGCCTCAACCAGCGAGCTAACAGGAGCCACCAACCAACTCGCACTGACTACAAACAAAGTCTTCATCCCTAAAGAGTCTGTTACATAAAAGTGCACAACATAAAACCATCTTTGTATTTGTGACTTACTGTAAGTCCTTAGGAGGTTTGCCTTTAAGGATGACTACATTTTTAATCAATCAGCAAGGCATGCAGTATGTAAAGTTCATGCTAGCTTGAGCGGCAGTGCACTGTGTTTTTCCCCTGGTGAAACAAAGCTCAGCCCCTGAGCTTTAGCTGGTGAGGTTATGCAGCCTTGCCTATTAGGACTGCTCTCAGCCACATGCCTGACTGCACTCTCAAGTCTCAGGGCCAAGAGTAAACTTTGAAGGAACCCTGCCAATTAAATGTAAGCAGAAAACAAAGTCTTCATTTTTCAGCCAAGCTAATGTGGTCAGAAATGTTCTCATGCTGCTGCTACTGATAATTATTATTTTGCATTCAGTAACGATGGCTTTTAACTCAATTTGAATATTAAATTCTGTCATGAAAATGAAGGTATCTAAAAATGAGAGTTGATCAGATTGTCACTGGTAAATAGACAAAATACATTTTACTACTGGTGAAAAGTGAGCCCTTCCATGACTAATATTTTACAAATGTCTTGTTTTGGGGATCTTACAGGAAAAAAAAAAAAAAAAAAACAAAACCCAAAAAAACCCCTTAGATGGCATTCATTATCTACAACAGGCAAAGACAAAACATTGTAGAAAGGTTACCCCAGATGAATTCCAGCAAACCCTTTATATTATTTCATAGTCCAAATAGTCTACAGCAGGTTGCAGAAAACATATTTGAGAAAAGACATACAGAACTTCATAGAATATACTTGGATTAGTTATTGTAGTTTCTCCATTTAAATATAATTGTTTCAGTCCTCAGTTCAGATACAATAATGTTCCAGTTTCAGTGTTTAATTGTTCTGCTGGATTTTGACCCTGCCCACAATGACTCTGATGGTGCAGACAGTCTCCAAAATGGTCTTAAGTTAAAAATTACAACACTTTCAATCCCTTTATCTTCTTTTCCTTTTCAACATTGGAAGCAAGTGGTGTACATACAACTAGAAAATTCCAGTGCTCAAAGGGTCTTGATTGTAATCTTGCTACCCTATGAGCCAGTTAAAAGCTATGGCATGGGAGATGGTCATCTGATTATCAGAGCTTCCCCAGAGCTTCTAGTGCTGTCTGGGCACCAGGAAAAGCAAGAAGGTTATAAAAAATTTCAGAATGTCCCAGGCAGATTCTTGGCTGCCCACCGAACTGCATCAATGAATTTCTTGGAAACAGACCCTATGGGACTATATTGGATTAATTTCTCTTGGGAACTCCTAACACCCTCATGAAGGTCTCAGGTAGGTGCCAAACAAAAGGGAGAATAAAAAATCCTGCTCTAAAAAGCCCTTCAAAAAAGATCAGATGAGCTTCAGCTTAAAAGAGAAGTAAAACATGACCATTCCAAAGGGATGCTTGTAATTTCTACCATGATTTCCATAATTCATTACCTTATAATTATGCATTTCAAAGTCATCTGGAAGTACCAATAAAGACAGATTGATTACTTTATTTGTATACATTGCTATGAGACATTATCATTTGATGCTGCCAAAGCCAGTTCCATGCCAGCCCTTGATCTAAAATTAGAGTAAGGACAAGGAAGTGTTCTTTCCTCTACAATGATCACCTAAACCCAAAGGAGCCAACAGAGGCTGAGAGACCATAAAGCAGTCGGTACCAATGGGCGTTTGCCGATGAAAAACTACAGGACCTCCAAACAGGCCCCTTGGAACTTTCTTGAGGACACATACAAATTCCAGCACCCAGTCAGCAAAGTGCTCAAAATATTCACTAGGGATAGAGCTTGAAATTTACTCAGAGAAGACAACCAGACATGGCAGACAGACTGTGCAGCAACGTGAAGGACTCAGAGTGGTTTCGGTTTCCTAAAAACCATCAACCATAACAGAAGTAGAAGGTATTCTGCATTGACTTCTACTCCCTGCAGCTGCTCCTCTGAGAATAACAGAAATCTCACACCCTCCATCCCTGCAGCTCTTCCCTGCCTGGGCAGGGCAGAAAATCTCAGCCTTGTGCCTGGGCAGTGCCATTCAACATATACTGAGTAGAGGATCAAGGAAATACCTTTTGGCTCTTACTTCCAAAGGCAGGTTTTGCATTTCTTCACACCCACCTGACTGCTCTTGAATTCAAGCACTTAGTTTAAGTAGGGAATCTGTTTTGCTCTCTGGAAGACAATGCCTTCCATATAACCCTGACCCAGTGTAGATGTAAGGTACTAAGAGCTCAACCTGCACCACAGCTGCTCCATCCAGGATCACATGTGAACTGGGTTTACTCAAAGGATTGTCCTCATCTAACTCCACAAGTGCTCAGCCTGCTTTCACCTTAAGACAGTTTGTACATGTATACCTCAAGTTATTTCTGTGCATACTTCATGTGTGCATCAGCCCAGATCCATGAGTGTGTGTGCATGCAGATAGATAAACAGATAATCTGGAATTGTTTCAAAGCAAGGGAAACATTTATCTTTCTTTCTTTCTTTCTAACCATTTTGCAACAACTTGGCCTTGGGATCTTCCAGGGAGCTGCGTGTATATGTGAGTGACACACTTGCCTGTTTTCACAGCTCCTGCCTTATGTCAATTTAAGCATCTTTCCTACACCTGGAGTTCAACAAACATCAGCTCACAGGTGTCACACTCCATTGGCTGAAGGCTGGCTCCAGAGAGTCTAGCCAATATCTGCTTTGGCTATTAACAACCTTGGAGAGGCCAAGCTCAGTGTGTGTGGGGAAGCAGCGGGGGGGAAAAGGTGGAAGGAAAAGGAAGGGGGGTTACATGTATGTGCATGTGCATTTGCTGCTGCTTTAACTTTCCATCCATTTAAGAGTTTAAATACTACTCAAGCACTTAAAAAAACATTAGGACACATTCCAGCTTTCTCTGCCAGTCAGAGGGAAAAAATGTTTGAAACCCTGCATCTCAGCACCCTGAGGGCTTTATGATTTGTTAGGTTTAGTAGTTCAGAGGATTAAAAAGACAGAAATATTAGTAGAAAAAGAAGAGGAAAAAGTCAATGTATTCACTGAAGCAAATCTAATGGGTTGCTGGGCCAGAGAAGAAAAGGTTCTACTACCTGACTGAATCTTATTTATATTTCTTGCTCCACAATAAAAAATAATTTTCTAGACATTCCCCCCCCCCCTTTTTTTTTTGCTATGCTAGTCACATTTCCTAAATCCTTTATCAACGACTGCTCTGCATATGAATGGGCTGTAATTGAACTGTCACATTCATGAAGGTCAGTAACCTTTCATTAGGAAGAATGTGTCTTTCTTGATAAATTGCAAAGTCCCTGAGGATTTGAAAGCATTTTTTTTATTTCATTCTTTCAAATATACCTTAAAAATCTAACACAGATCTTTCTCTCTTTTCATAGTACTCTGACAAACCCCTTGTCTTTCTCTTTGTCATAGGCAGTTCCATGCAAAATATTCAATCACAAGCTTTCACTGTGACCTTCTTAAAAACAAAATGGGAAGCATAAGCCCCCCACCCTCAACCCCTCACTTTGAATTGCAGATTGCTAATACTTCTGCTTAAAAATCCCCAAAAGTCAAAACCTTGAGATTAGAAGCTTTGCCATGTCCTTGCTTCTTCAGATTGGTTTGAGTTTCTACTGTAATGTGACCTAAGTCACACTCTGTTGGTGCCAGTACATCAGTCCATCTTCTTGGTGTGTCCATTCATGTGCAGAGATGGACAGACAAATGCACCAAGTAGTGACAGGCTACATGAGAAAAACAAATTGGGGTAGAGAATGGTGCTTAAAAAACATATTTAGTACTGCAGATAGCTTTCAATCCCTGCCAGAGGTTAGCTGCATGCAATTCATTCTTCCCTATCTAAGGAAAACAAGCTTTTCAGAGGGTTGGTTGTGCACCTTGATCTGCACCGTGCCACAGCAGGGTCCTTAAAAGAAACTGACTGGCTGCCAAGTTCATAACTGCTGCCAGAAGTTCAATTCCTCCTCCAGATTCCAATCAGAAAGTGTGCAGCAGGATACATGGAAATGTGTCAAGCTTCCCACCCTTACCAGTGCAAAGGTGCCTTCTGAAGTGTTAAAATACTATTGAGGCTTCTGGGGCAGAAGCCATCTGTTCCTGTGCCATGTTCTAGCTAGATAAGCCTAGTGCCCATCTTCAGTCAGTTGACTGGCTGGGGATTGACTGTCAAGGGGTTGGGAAAAAAGGCAACTTTGTGAAAAGTCAGCCATGATCAGGATAGAAACACCACAACATGAAGAAGGTGAGACTTGATAAATGGAAACAAGCATTTGGCCTTCTGTGATAGCTATTCAAATACTTCAAAAAGTAACATGAATTACCGGTTCTTGAGAGACTATCCTTTTATTGTCACCATAAAATTGTGGTGATTCAAGGTTCACCCCATAAGATGGAATGTCGAGGAAAGAGGAAAAAGGCATACTTGCTAAACAGCTGAAATACTTTGATTGTACAGGCCACACTGGAAGCTTTTTACCTGGAAGGAAAAAAAAAGCAAACATTTCTTTTGATTTTTTGCAGGAATGATTGAAGAATTAATACTTTAATTAGGTTTAAGTCACTTTTCTGAAGACTTCTCTCAGCTAGTGAATTCTGTTGGGTTCATATGCCCAGCTTTGAATGGGAATAATTTACTGCAGTACCACAGAATGGATCTTCTTACACCAGTAACAGAAGTAATAGAAAAAAGACTCTCACAAAACAAAACAATATAGGTTCTGCCTGACTTCCATATTAACATCCTCCTTCAGAAGCAAGAGTATGTTTGAATTAACATGGAGAGAGTCTTTATTTAAAAGATAGATGTACTCTCATGCTGCAATTCTGCAATTGTTCTCTAGACACAGAGTTCATGGCGAGGGGTAGCCAAGGGTGCCCAGAAGCATAAATCAAGCTAGACAATTCATCATGTGAATTCTGTCTTCCCCTGGTGAAGTAAGGTACTTGCAATAACACTGTGAAGAAAAAGACTAGACTTCATCAGTGGCCAAGGGCATGTCACAAACACCACCTAGGACTTTAAAACAACAGAAAGGTCTTCACAGACCATCACTTTCAGTGCCACCACATTCAGGCTGCTCAATGTAAGAGTCTCTTGCAGAAACCTCCACTACAGTAGCATCTAAGGTCAATCAGCAAAGAGTGATTCAGACTTCTAGTGATCAGGGGCCACAATGCATCAAGCAGGCATGACTGGCTTCTCTACATGCCTGACTTCGGTACCAAAATGGCTTTTCTTTCCGCTGACTGCACAGGAAGACAAGGTCTAGCAACTTGGCAAGGTGTGCAGAATTGCTCACCACTCTCTTGACCTGACTCACTGTCCTTGATCCTGTTTCATACCGGACAACAGGAATACAGCTCCCAGTTTCTACGTCCCAGTGTCATTGCTGCTGTGTGGAATATGTAAATACGATCTTATGTGGGACTTTTCTACTGTACATCAGGAGATGACTTTGCCTCCTGTTTTGGAGGCAAGATGTTGACTGCTTTTCTAGAGAGAGTAAGCAAAGAAGAAAAAACAAATTATATTTTAATGTTGGATCACTTAATGTTGTCCAAGTTATGGACAGTTAATTTGGAGACCATTGATTTAATCTCCTGCCATGTATTTGGGTGTGCCAGTGATTTGGAGAATGTTTTCATGCAAGTGCCAAATCATCCAGACACTCTCAGTTGCCAAAAAACCAAAATTGACTGACAGTCAAATCAATTCAAGTAGAAGACCACAATCTTGGGAAAGAACTTACATCAAAATAAATATTTTTGCAGATATTTTCTAGCATGCCTGCCCTAAAATGCACCATAGGCAATAATTCTTAAGGTGCTATTTTTCTTCTCAGATAAAATGTTAATAGCCAAGTGGATACGAGGTTGCTATTTACAAATCTCTGTAGAGTTGATGTTTTTATTCCTGAACTTTGGTCCTCTGTCCAGAGTATACTAATTTCTTTCCTCACTTGGAATTGGAGGTAGATTCCTACATCGCAGTACTTGGATTCATACACAGTTAAACCTTGTTGCATATCAGGGAATTCAGATTCCAAGATTTCAGTTGATAACTGGATATAGAAAAACAACAGAGCAGTATATCACCTCATTGTATATATCCAGACCAAAACAACGAGACCTCTCAACCACTCCACACTGTGTATAAAATAGAAGTCATTAAAGAATTTGTTTAGAAGTGTGTTAAGCATTTTCCAGGCAGGCAGTGAATAAATCCACTTTACCACTTCGTGGCTTTACAAAGAAGCCCATCCATTAACATGGGAACCCTCTTGTTTGCATTTCTTAACAGCTGACATTTGTACCTTTCCAAGGAAAGTGAAGGGCATCTCATTGCCTCATTGTTTAAATCAGTGTGAAAATAATGGGGATGATAGGGAATTGTAGCTAATTTCCTTTGTCTCCTATTCAGCAGATAATGGTGGTATGTGTGGGATGCTAAAGGCCAGGCAGAGGAGGTGACCTGAAGATGACTTCATTCTTATGAGGTTTATCAAAGGCTCCTGTCAGTCAAATGCATGCTGAGAGATTGGGGACTGACCATCTGGTCCAAAGTTAATCAAAGAAGAAAAAGGAAAGTGAGGAGGTGAAAAATCCCCCTGTCAGCTTTGTGGAAGGTAGAGGGAGAGGCAGACAGAAGAGGGAACTCTTGTGCTCCAGTAGCCCAGTACCCAGACTTGATGGCTGCAGAGGAGAATGGGGTGGAGGGGCATCAGGGAAAGGGAAAGATACCATTGTTTTGAAATTTCCTTGGGATGATCCCACACCTGCTTTAAGTGGCAAGCCTGAAGGTCACTGCTGCTGTTAGCCATGCAGAGCAGAGGCAGAATTATTTCACTTGTCCTCAGTAAAAAAAGGGTGAGTGACTGACCCACAGTAGGGAACCCGTGTAATATAAAGCACAGGGTTTACTGTCACAGAGCCAGACTTCCTTCCTCTGAGTTTTGCTTCTTGCAAGCAGGAACAAGGGGTGCAGCCATGCCACCTTCATGTCCTGCAGATTCAACCATACCCAACTCCTCACCTTCTACCCCCTCCACCCACTGGGCTCAAAAACAGATGTCCTGAAAGCACTACCCACATTTCCAAGAGGTTGGCATAGTTTGCCCATAATGGCTTTTCTGTCAATACTGACTCACATACATTTTTACACTGTACATAAGCTAAGAGGGGTATAGAGCAGGGATTAATCAACAAATTACTTGGTTTTTGCTGGACATCACACAATACTTGTACATGAAAGTGAAGGCACCAATCAGATAACTAAAATACTATTTAAACGTGTGCATTTAAACTAAAATACTATTTAAATGTGTATTATGCAAAAATGCATTTCTTCACCAAAGATGCATTCTGAAGTAAAACACCAGAGTGTGACAGCCTGATTTCCATAACTAGCCTTGTTCAGCTGCTCAAATCAGCTAAATAGAGACATATTTTTAAAACTACAAATGTCCAGATTGTGAATCCCTCCTTCATGCTGGCAAGTAGTCATGCTAATGAGTTGTCTCCTTGACTCCAGGGGAAAAACTCTTGCCAGGAAAGGTTTCACAATCCCAGACCTAAACATTTCTAAAATGATTAACCAATGTGAACTAACTTAAAAAAAAATTAAAAGGTGGGGGGGAAAAGGCAATAGGGGAAGGGTTTTTTTGAGGGCTGCAGATTAAGGCTGAGCATTAAATGTGTTCATGGAATTAGCAGAGCAAGGGATGAATGTGCTTCCTGTAGTACACACACACACACACACAAACAAACACACACACACACACACACACACACACACACACAGGCTCCTCCCTCCAGGACAGAAACATGCTAAACCAAAGAGAATGAGAACAAAAGGGTTTGGCTGCCTCATATACCTGGGGGTGGAACTTGCTTCTCCATTAAATTTCCATTCAGCATCTTCCTCAGGTCGAGGTCCAGTCAGGCCCCCATAGAGAGGAACATATGGAAAACAGTGGCAACGAGTTCTGCTCTACCTGCAGCTTTGCTGAGCTGAGTCTCCTCCAATGCCCTGTTTGGGAACATCACTTTGCATGGCCAAGTGCTGCAAAGTAGAGCTGAGAATAGTGAGAGTAGAATCAGACATTACTTTTAAACCAAACTTGCTGTCCTCCTATTTTTATTGAGTTTTTAAAACAGCAAGCAACCTGCAGCACACTAGGCAGCCTGAAACAGGGACAGCCAAAAAAGAGCAAAGGTGGATAGATATTGAGACAGATAGAATTTTCTTGCTGCTAGTTTCTGATGTGACCCTTTTGCATGGCAATAAAAGTCAATTAATAACCTCAGGTACCAAACATGCACTCTGCTTGTACATACCCCAACTTGCATTTACTTTCTACTGAACTGCTTTACCTGTGCTGTGATGACTTCAGAAGGAAGTGAATTAATAGCACTAAAGGTTATTTTTTGGTTTTATTTTTATCTGCACAGCTCTAGATCCCAGAGAAATATGACTAAGAAAATTATCTTTCCCAACCCCTGTAAAGAAAATGCAGCCATTTGGATCCCAACATAAACAAGCATCAGCATGTCTGAAATTCTCTGCTGGCTGTAATTAAAACTCACGAGCAACTATGACACAACTGTTTCTGTCTTTATGACATGAAACATGCAGACATTTAGAAATGGGCTGACAGAAAATTCAGCAAGGAAATTTCACCAGAAACCTTCTATCCCCTGGAAAAATTAAGTATTTCAATCAGGCAGTAAGACATTATCATAATATTTATTATTCCCCTTGCCCAGTTCCTGCTGGATCTCACAGAAGGAAAAAGCTTTAGGCTTACCTGTGTCTGGCATGGATCCCTAGTCCAACACATTGGTTGAATACACAGGCATGAACATGCTGTCATCAGCATATCTTCCTCCTTCTTGTGGGCTTGAAATAATTCAATATGCTAAATTAGAAAATGCCCTAAATCAGGCAGCAGCTCCATTTTCATCAGTGGCTGAGAGTATTTCCGAAAGCAGGTAGGAGATGTAGCTACCTAACCTTAAACTGATGGTTTGAAATAATTCAATATGCCAAATTAGAAAATGCCCTAAATCAGGCAGCAGCTCCATTTTCATCAGTGGCTGAGAGTATTTCCAAAAGCAGGTAGGAGATGTAGCTACCTAACCCTAAACTGATGGGAGATAAGAGACCACATCCCCTTGAAGATGGTGAGAACGTCAAACTGTGCTCTTTTCCCCGCACTTAGCACAGCTCCCTTATTTCTTGTTAGAAGTCACATAATTGCAAATTTCACAATGTTAAGTAATTTCTGAAGGACTTTTTCAACTTCTCTGTTATACTTCATGGTCATGAACATACACTTTAATGATAGCCACAGCAATAATTCACACAGAAACAGTTTTCTCTCAAACACTTCAGAATAGTAAGGATTTGGGGGAGGGAAATTATCAGCACTAATACAACTTATTAGACAAACCCTATGTGATGCCATGGCAGGTCTGCTATCAAAGGCAAAAACCTTCAGGCTTTTTACATCCCATAATCCCAATGAAAGCCTGCTTTTGCAGATACCCTGCAGTTCATGAATCACTGGCTGTAGCATACAAAATCCCCTGTTTAAGTAATTACTGTACAATAGACAAATCTGCACAGTGGCTGATGTTATATAAAATATTCCAAGGCTGTCCCAAAACCACAATATATTAAAAAAAAATCTCAACTGGAAACAAGTGTCTTTCAGTAAGTATATATTGTGAAATAGGGTATGCTGTGATCTAATCATATTAGGGATATCCTGAGAACTGGAAAAGGTCTGGCAATAGAGGAACCCAAGCCAGTGATGAACCCTGAATGGCTCCTATCTCTAGGCATTCTTTTCTATTTGTTTCACTGGGGCTTCAATACACCCTCAAGCTCCTGATTTTTGCATAATTAGATAGTTCTATTATTACCAACTTAGTTTTCGAACATCAAAGAACACAGAATAATCTCAAATCCATGCACTGCCTGAATAACAGGCCTCACTTCCTAGCTTCCATTTCTTCAGCAGAATTAACAAAAAACCCAGTATTTTTAGGAAGATACCAAACCTAAACCCTGGTCTTGGCCATGCATTGCCTGGGTAATGGAGCTGGCTTCCACATCTTCATTGGCATGAACCAGAAACCTGGTATGTTAGAAAGACAACAAAATTTCACCAGTCTCATCTCTGTACTTGGCTCTGATTTATCCCCACACCTGAAAAGTTCAGCTTCTACATTCAGCAACACGGAAGATAGGTTTTCTTTCATGAGAAGCCCTTATTTGCCTAACTTTGGTTTCATCTATGGACAAATTATTTCACCAAAGTTTGTACCCTTCAGCTAGTCTGTAAATCAGACTAGGAGTAACAAGCGAGTGGCATTTTGCCAAGTCACTTCCAGAGCAGACCAGCAATGCTCAGTCATACCCACATAATCAGAAAACAAACAAAAAAGGATAAAGAAGGGCAGAACTGCATTACAATTTACAGAGCATGATGAATATGTTCAATTTGGATTAATTATAAAATATGTTCTATTCATCTATTTACAATTTAAGATCTGGCAAATGGCACAGCAGAAAAAAAAAATCTGAACTGGAAAATTAGCACTACTTTAATTGCAAGACTACTGATTTTCCTTTTTCTTTCAAAGGAAGCACACAGAACTTCTTCAGTGGAAGCCATAGCTTTAGAAATGTTGATTTGAATCAGATTTAGCATTTTCAGAAATCTCCTGTACCTCTTGCATTGTCCAAGGCTTATTACATACTTTGTTTTCTTGTTTTTGGTGCAAGAAATCTGCAGGACAGTTGGAATTTGGTTTGCAAAAAGAAAAATTATAGTGGTCCACAAAATAGAAGGTCAAGCAATGCTTTGGAGGTGCTTTATGAACTGGAAATCTTTCTCCAAAGTATTTCACTACAGCCCAATAAAACATTACAAGCTGGTGGAATTTTGTCCTTTTAAATTTGGAAGTGCTTTCTTTCCCAATGAGTAAGTTTTGTTCGGGTTTAATTTGCTTTCAGTGCTCCTCGCAAAATCAGTATAATCACTCCAGTGCAGTTTGACAGGTTCCTGAGACAGTGTAAATTAAGTGACCCACAGCAACCAAGACACAAACACCAACTACACAACAAAAATGTGGAGGGACAGCAATTACCAGCAAAAAAGCAAAATCTGGCAAAGGCTGTTTGTGTTAGGTTTGTGTGGAGCTCCCAGGCAGGCTGCTAAATCAGGTATAAGTTTTTGTTTGAAGAAAGGCAGAGCTAAGATGAAGAAGACTTTTCTGGGTTAGGTCTGCCTTTTTGCTACAAGCATCAGTCACAAAGAGTGCAAGTGGTTTAAGACACAGTGAAGAGTTTGGCAGAAATTTGGACTGCTCTGTATGTGGGATGTTGTGATTCCTCCAGCTGCAATTCCCTAGGATGCATTTCACCTAGCCAACACCTGACAGGAAATATTTAGGAGGTTATAAGTCTTCTTTAGAAGAAAATTACAGCAGGAAGAGGTCCAATATAACAACTAAAACATGAAAAAAAAAGCTTTCTCACAGTTTGTGTTCTAGGTGCCTGGCTGAAATCCTGGCTCCATAAAAAGACTTTTACCGTGCACTTCCAGGATGTCAGGTTTGTCAATGTCTAGCTAGTTTTCATACATATTTGACCTACTATGTTGCCTAGCATCATAGTCAAAGAACAGTAGGTTCAGTTGCGGTGTGAAGAAGAAACACAGTACACACTGAGATGGTTTGCACAACCCAGTGCACCTCAGGAGGCAGCCACTTTATACCCAAAGAAGGTGTCCCCATCCTTATAATTTACTGGATTTATTTGACAGAGGCAGGGAGGGAGAACTTTAAGAGCATTTTTTGACACGGTTGATGTGTTGATGCTGATCTTATTTTTCCTCTAAAGAGTTTTATTGACTCAATAGATTACCAAGATTTTAGATTCGGGGATCACGTTGCTACAGCATGACAACCAATTTGTCTGCTGTAACAGAGACACGGTTGCACTACAACTGTTCCACAGTATCTAATCAACCTTTTTCATACACATATAGGTTACTTAGACTTTATTTAAAGAACAGAAAATATCCAGTCTTATGAAAAAGGGTAGTTGTGGCTGTCATACAGATGTTTTGCTGAAAAAAGCCCTAACTCACAAAGAAAATCAGAGAGGTGGGAAAGAATGGGTTCAGCCTATTCGCTCCTGCCATTTCATGTCAGTTTAACAAACCCATTGCTGCCAAATTGCAGCAGTATCAACAACAAGATAGTGTCATCTTCTCATCTTCTCATCATCTAAGTCCAAGAAACAGAAACGAAAGTTTTAAAAGCTGGCCTTTTTTTTTCCTTTTTTTTTTTTTTTTTTTTTTTAGGCATGTCTAATGCCTAATGACAGCCTTTTTACCCATGTTCCTGGTCAAACTATCAACGTGAATGAGAACTGGAGTGAGTGTCCATCCTGGTAGGGTATATGAACTCACAAAACCATGACTGAGATTAGAACAGAGCTGCCAGAAAAAAAACGGGCATTAACCTGTGCCTTTTTTTGTTGTACTTCCTGTTAGCCCACACCCTTCCAAAATACAGAAAATGAAAATATTAGCAGAAGAAAGTAGCATAAAATGAAAGAAAAAAATCCCTATGGTTCTGATAGTCATTTGGAATATTCTATATAGCCAACAAACTCAAGCAGGGATCTTTGATGTATTGTGCTGTATTATGTGACTTCAAGAAAATGAGATGGGAAGGTAAATATACAAAGTAGGATTTAGCAAGATGCTGGGTGAAGAGGGACAAAACCCCTTTTTATGGTTGTCAGGAAAAAGGAGTGTGACATTCTTACAGAGTTAGAAGGAGGTCAATAAATCATCATCCTTATCTTGCAAACAGTGCCTGTGACTTCAAAAATTAGCTCATTTATTCTGCACAATTAAATTTATTGAAGTGTGACAGAAAAAGTTTAGCAGTCGCTGATGCAGAAAGGCAGCAACAACGGAGGCAGGCAACTGACTGAATGACACAATTAGTTGATTTTCATTTTATTTATCAATATAATTATTGAATTGTATTCATCTTATTTCACAGATTTTTACCATTATTAGAGCCCAGGCCTCAAGGGAAAGAATTAGTTCAAATTTTCAGTCTAACTTAATGTGATTACGGAGCTGGTAATAAAAGAAAAGTTCTATAAAATGCTACACAATCTTGTATTCAATGTCACACCACCATCCAGCTCTGAAATCCAGAAACCTTTCACATAAAAGCAGTAAATTGAATGTGAATTGTGAACATCCTACATTCCCTAGGTGGCAACTGAACCTGTGTTTGTGGGATCCCACCTTGATGTGACCTTAAGGGAGCAAGATTCTACCTGAATTTTAAACTCAGGTGTATATTTCTTTCTTTAAAAATACTCCAAACAAACAAACCCCCTCACTAAATGAAAACCAACCAACCAACCAGAAAAAAAATCCTCTAAAAAACCTCATTGCATCATCTCTGACCCCAGTCCTATGACAAGGTTCAGTAAATTTATCTGTAAATGCTGTGAAAACAGTGCAGAAATATTAGAGAAAGACTGCCATGCCAGAGGAACAGTAGATGAGTATGGTTCATATGCAAAATTACCACATTGGTAATTTTGATACATACTGAAAAAATATAATTCCAAAACTTTTGACAAGTTTTTTTTTTTAAACAAAATACAATAAAAACTATTTACAAATTAGAGAGGTTAGTAAAAGTTATTTTTCTTCTTGTCCAGTCAAGTTTAGAAGCATCTAGACTACTCTAAGTTACTCTGGCTCACTTCTTGGCATGCTTTCCTGTCAATCACAATGTCTTCTTTGGTTTTAAACTTGCAAGAGACAGAAGGAGAAAGGCTGGACCTGACTCATGCACGTATTCCACCCTTGCTTTCTACATACATAAGGAATCAAGCATATGTTCACCAGTAAGCTATATAATAATTCATGTCCTTTCTCACAGGTTCAGGAAATTAGACCACATGCTATTGCAAGTGTCTAACTTTTCCAATGTTTTGAAAGATTATTTCCATTGCAAGTAGCTTATTCAGCTCTACCCTCCACTTACTATTCCATAAAAATTAATTTATTTGCTCTGAGAAAAAGACATACGGGCCTTTCTTTTTCTAAATGTTGGTCAAAATGTCATGGAGCATTGCCTAAAGCATTAAAAAATGGAAAGGGTCCAATATAATTCTATAGCCATAATTAATAAGAATGAATATTATTACTTACAATCAATGAGTGATTTTGGGTGTGAAGAGACTTCCAGAATTCCCACTGACTTAAACAGTATGTTCCAGTTACTAGGATCTTGATGTCTTTGTAGGCTCAGACTATATTTTGGGAATTTAGTGTACTGACTTCTTCAGAAATGAGCAGGAAAAGAAGTTTATGCCTGTAAAGCATATAAATTATTAGTGCTAATAAAGTGGATCTCACTGGGACTATTCAACTTAAATTTGACATGCACTGTCTAAAGAAAAAGGGATCAAAAGAAAGAAAACTGTATATTGCACATTTTCTTTTTTTGTGTTTCTTTGGAGTAAAGCCTGGAAGGTTGCTTTTCCATTTATGAAGAATTACACACCCACTGGGACCTGGAGTTGGTGGAAACCATTCCATAGCAGCACCATGCAGTGAGCTGCCCACCTCCAGAGATGCAGGAGCAGCAGATGAGCCTTCTCTTCGGTGCTAGGAAAGATATAACAAAGGGACAGGTGGGTACAAATAAGGATCAAAGGACAGAAGATAATTTTAGTGGTTTAATTAATGGATGATATTTCCATTGCAGTCAACACAAGCAGAATCGTCACTGCTTTTGCTTGTACTTAGCTTAAATAGAGGAGAAGAGAATGCCTTCAAGGAATAACTTCCTACAATCTCTGCAAAATTCAGCAAGGCTCTCATCAGCTGGGAGGAGCCGCATATGAGCACAGGAAATGGGCTTCTAGACCTGAGGAAGTATTCAGCAGGTCAATAATCACTATGTCAGATTTCTGTGGGACTTTTCATTCCAATAACTTCAAATAATCTTGCAATGAAAGAGATTTCTTGTGTTATGAGATCCCAATTCAGCAGGTAAACCTCCCTTATTCAGAGCCTCTCAAAAGAAAGGTTTTTGGAACAAAAAACAACTGTAGTTTACTAGACTATAAATGAGAATTCTTAATTTCAGAATTTTCAGGGCTGGAAGAGACCTTGAATGTCATTTAGTCCAACCGTCAACCCAGCACTGCCACAGTTACCCATAAACCTGATCCCCACCTGCCAGAAGTCTCTCCAACACTTCCAGGGATGTGACTCCACCATGTCCATGGGCAACTTTATTTAAGGCTTAGCCACTCTTTGAATTATTTTTTTTTTATTTCTAATATCTAGTTGGAACCTCCCCTCTGGCAACTTAAGGCTGTCTCCTCTTGTCCTTTCACTTGATATGTAGCAGAAGAGATGATCCCAACCTCACTATAACCACCTTTCAGGCAGTGGTAGAGACCAATGTGGTCCCCCCCTGAGCCTCCTTTTCTTCAGGCTCCCTCACCCAGTTCTCAAAGGACAGGTTTTCTACACCCCTCACCAACTTTGTTGCCCTGCTTTGTACATGCTCCAGACCCTCAATGTCCTTTTTGAAGTGAGGTGCCCAGAACTGAACACAGATTTTGAGACATGGCCTCACCAGTGCTGAGTACAGGGGGAAAATCTGGGTCATTCTGGCCACACTATTGCTGCTACAGGCCAGGGTGCCATTGGCCTTCTTGGCCACCTGGGTACACCCTGGTTTGTGTTCAGTGGCTGTCAGCTAGTACCCTCAATACCCCTTCTGCTCTCTCAGAGTGACAGCTCTCAAGCCACTCTGTCCAAAGCCTGTAGTGCTGACTTGGGCTCTTGTGAGTCAGGTGCAGGACCCGGTGCTTTGCCTTACTGAAGGTCACACAGCTGGCCCCATCCCATTGATCTAGTCCATGGACACCTCTCTGTACAGCCTTCCTGCCCTCCAGCAAACCAACAGTCCCACCTAACCTGATGTTATCTGCAAACTAACCAGGGATGCACTCAGCCCCTTTGTCCAAATCATCAATAAAGATGTTAAACAGGACCAGCCACCAGCCCAGAAGCTGAGTCCTTTGGAACACCACTGGCGATTTACTGCCAAATGGATTTAGTTCCACTCAACACCACTCTCTGGGCCAGACCATCCAGCCAGTTTTCAACAAATTGGAATGACTAGGTCAAACACAATCCCCATAAAATGGATGACATAAATCCATTTTCCCCTGCCCACTGCATCCTTTCAGGGATGCCTTCTATCTTGGTTTCATTCAACTCAGTTGGACCAGAGCAGGCCATGCATAACCTAGTCCTAGTCCTCATGAAGCTGCTTCTTCCCATCCAAAGACATTTAATTATGAATCTACTTCCTGCTTTTATTCATTATGTCCCGGCCTGCCCACTGGAAGCTTCTTTTAGTAAGCGGTTGCTCCTTCCTGTCTGCCATACCCTACCTCTTCTATGAAGTCGCCTTTTCCTTGACACTTTGTGGATAAAAACAGTAGAAGGAACCATCTTCCTCTCACAAAGGCTGAAGTTGAGTCAACTATATCTTATTACAAAGAAATCTAAACTCTAAACTGAGGATAAGTAAAACTGACACTTTCAGTTGAACCTTGGCATTTTTCAGTTGGGAAAGAGGAGCTGGGAAAAGGAAACATCTAAGATAATAAAGATTAGTGTGAGGCCACTGACTTCCTAGGTGCCTTGCCCAATTCTCCAACTTGGCTGGCTTATATGGCATGCCATAAAAATTTAGATGAGTCCATTTTAAAGTCTTCCATGTCCTGAAAATGCTCAGAGAACTTACCCACTCACCACTCACAAGAATATTGTTCCTGTGCATATATAGAGAATTGGGCTTAATTAATCTGATGTAACATTGCATCTTAAAAATGTCAAAAGCCTGAAGGATGCTTTTCTCCACCCACAGCAATCAACGTTTTGTTTTTCTTTCTATTTCTCAAAATAAAAACTTCACCAGGCCAGTTTTGTTTAGGGATTAATTTGATTTTTGACTGATTTCACAGCCTTCCCAGATTAACCCTGTGGACTGCTGTATAACCATCAGGCCTTTGAGCTGACTTTTCATTCCAAATCAGTGTTTTCTAAATAATTATTTACCCATGAACAGGTCATAGAGGCCCTATGGCAATGTTTTCCTCTCCTTTCCATATGCAGAATCATTACTCAAAAGGGCAATGTGCCTCAGGTTTCTAGACTGCTCACCAATTCATCTTTTCTTTAAGCCACATTATGCATGAGCATTAATGTGCAGCACCAAATCTGGAGAAAGCCTGTCCAGTTCTTCAGAGGAAACAAATTAATTGAATCAGTGTGAACAAAGTGCAGAGGCACCCTGGGTGTGTGAAGTTCCTGAACCCCTCCTAAGATTTTCAACTAACAGGGGCTCAGGCAACAGCAAACTACAGCTCTGAAAAACACATGGGGCAGTGCCATGAAATTTCATTTTTCTATATACAAGTTTTCTTATCCAAAAAGTGAAGATTTACCAGCCTGCCTGAAATATTCAGCATTCTGGTGTAAAGGAGGCTGCCAACAGGAATTGTTCCAGACCTGAAACTGGGCAAGCAGGAGGAAAGGGAGAGGATCACAGAGGTGAGTCCATGGCATGAAGAAGTGTAGTCAAAGTGTCAGAGTTGCACAGTGTTTTAGGGTGAAGGAACCCACTCTTCCATATGGTGTTTGCTGTATTGAGTAACACTTCCACTCAGACATGCCCTGAATTCAAACACAAAACAAAATTCCCTTACAAGAAAGTTCAAGTTCTACAAAAGATGGCTCAGTTCTGTCAACTCCATCTTCCCCACCAGTGTTCTGCCCACCAAGTTCTTTGCAGTGTCTCTCAAATTATAAATAGATCAGCATGACAGATCTGACCTTCACCTAGGCTGACTTTAGTTGGTATAGGGGCAGGTTGCTGCTCCTTCAAAGCTGATAACCTGGACATGGCAGTGTGCTGCATGTGTAAGAGACAATAATTTTGGAGCCGATGCATGTAAGAGTGAGCAGGTAGCAGAGCCAAGAGCTGAGTTCATGACTCTTCTCCTTGGCTCTGATTGTGCAGAGTAGGACATGCCGAGGGCTTGTGCCACTATTTACACAAAGTTTCACAATGAAGACAGATGATGATGGCTAAAAGTCAGATCCTGAAGGAAATGGGGAATAAACTGTGGAAAATGGAACACTAAAATTCTCTGGGGGAAGTGGTGTTTTGTCCTGTGCCTAACTGCAAACAACATAAATCAACAGAGATCAAAGAAAATGGTCCTCTCTAGCTCTCAAAACCTTTAAACAGTAGGAGACCCACCAGTCTAAGGCTAAACAAAAAAATTAAAGGAGTGATTAGAGTGAGTGAGTAGATCGGTGCCCAAACTTTGGAAGAGGAAATGCTGCATTTAACAGCCATTATTTGCCTTTATACCATGTAAGATGTCAGAACACCAGGGCTTCCTCTTTGCATCTCTGTCAGCAAAAATGGGTAGTCAGCAGAGCACCCTTGTGCTGGGGAAAGAGATCAGCATCAAGACAAGAGACAAGCTCTCCACAGCAGTGTGTAGTGGGAAGGCAGGGCATAAGTGGAAAGCAGTTCAGACTGTTATAAGGATATTTATTTTTCCTCTGGGGACAACCAGAGTTGCCCAGAGATTGTGCAGCCTCCTTGGAGATTTTCAAGGCTCACTTAAATAAAGCTTTGAGCAGCATGATCTCATCTTGTGGCAGATCCTGTCTAGTGCAGGATGTTGGACTGGAGACCTCCTGAGATATTTTCCACCCTAATTATCCTGTGGATATCTTCTCTGATACTTTCTCTGATATTGTTTGTGTATTAACTGATCCTGTACCAGAAAAGGAAGCAGCCCTATAATTGATAGCAAGGACTCTGTCTCAGTATTAAAATATTTGGGTTCTTCCACCTTTTGTAATGGTCAGTTAAGGACCACTACAATTACATTACAATTGAGATTACACCTAGATGTCTAGTATCTCTATTTTAGTATCCAATTTTGACTTCAGTGAGTCAAAAAGTCAGTACTTTTCAGCACAGAAAGTTTGCACGCTGTATGTGCTACATATAGTATGGTGTTTTGATATAGTGACCCATAATAGGAAAAAATACACACACACAGGAAATTAATCTTCATCTCTTGGAGCTGTTCAAACATCCAAGGTTCCATCAGACTCTTTCAGCTTAGCACCATCTTTCTTTGCATTTCTAGGGGATGAGAACATAAGGAAATGCCATTCCTTTTACAGCTAAATTGTGCTATTACTCCAACTACTTCTGAGATATTGGTACTGTTTGTTCTCCTAGCAGCAACTTTGAGATTCTCAAATAGTCACACATTGCTCAGAAAAAATATAGAAGAAAAACAAGCTGAAATTTTGGTGGAGACTGTAATTATGAACACATAAGGACAAGTGCATTTTTCTTCCTTAAGTCCAGAATGTCCAGTCTGTACAGCACAGCAAGAATTTCTAACCCTTCTCAAGTAATGTCATTGATGCAAGATATTTAGTGTGATGATTTCAGCAGTGAATGTCAAATATCTCTCAAATATTTGCATGCTTCTTAGCTCCTAAACTGACAAGCTTTAATTTAAGCAGATATAAGTGAAATCTGCCACGGCACATGTTGGCTAAGATATTTAAATTATACAGTCCACAATGAGAAAGACACAGAGCAAATGCAATCCTCATTAGAATCAGTGTGGCAGGGGCTCTTCTCATTACAGTTACTTAAACAATAAATTAATTAAAAACTCCTCAAAAAGCCCAAGCACAAAACTATTCAAGATGTGTGGGAAAAATGCCACAGTCTTGCAATCTGCTCTTCCTGAAAGTCCTCTCTTTTCATCTTTATTTCTCTTTTCCCTACAGATCTCATGTGGAGTATATAATACATAACCAAACAAATGGGGCAACATAAAGTGTGAGGACATTAATTCCTTCATCACATCTTTGTGCAAGCTCAACAGACCCCAGCAGTGTACGTAGTGGCAAACTGAACTGGAGGGCTCCTCAAGTTGCTAAAAGAATTACCTGCTCTTTCCATTATGAGTCCTTAATATGCCATACCTCCTTCAGTCCATTCTCTTGTCTTTAGCCCATCCTTAGGGATACCAAAAGTTTCATAGGACAGACACTATGCCCTTTTAATTTTACTTTTCTCAGGAAAGCACTAGATGCTGGCCTGTGTCTGTCTGTCTGTCTGTCTATCTATCTATCTATCTATCTATCTATCTATCTATCTATCTATCTATCTATCTGTCTCTCCCCCACCCCAGCCTTTAGAGCCTGTTGGCGCATTTCAAGCCAGCTACTAGAGGACTAGAAGGTATAAGATGAAATCCCATATATCATGTGAAAGAAGGAAAAAAATTATCGTTTGTTAAACAAAAGAGACCTCTAAGAACTCTTTCACTGTATTTTTAGTCACCAGACAATCCCCAGTGGAAAGCACTTTGAGGAGTTTCCCAGCTGCAGGCAAACCTTGGAATAGAGCTCCTACTTTCTTAGACATGGGTTAATCCAGTCACAAGATCCAAAGCCATAGAAAAACAGGCTTCTCATGTGCTACTTACTAATTCTAGCAATCAGACACTAATTTTAGGCCTGCTTTTGGATAGAACAAATTGTTTTCTCTACCTGTCTGTTCAAGTCCATGGAGGACAAAGGACTGGATCTAAACCTGAAGTTAGATGCCCAGAGTTCCACTTGGATAGGCAGAGAGGTCTGATATCAAGGGATCTTCTGTCCCTCCTCTAACCACTCAGCTCTCCTCCAGAACAGTTACTCAGGCACCTTTAATTCATCAGCTGAGCATGTCCAGAAATATAAATGTTTTGGCTACATTAAGCCAAACATCATGGAGCCATCCTACCCAAGAAGACATTTGGGCTTATGAACTAGGTCCTCTAGTGCTCACATTCACAGCTCAGCACACAGCTGGTGGAGAGGAGAAAGTCCTATTGAATCTGTCTTGTTAGATAGCCAGCAGCAGCTCAGTTCCCAGGGCTGAGCAAGAGTGCACAGAGGGAGGTCTTCTTTTGGGATCTGGTCACTTTCTGCCCTGGGTGCCTCCATCCCAGGTAGTGTTCAGAATTATTCTCCCAGTCTGAAGCCAAGGAAACTGGAAGTAACACATGATGAGGATGATGACTAACCACAGACATCTTGTTAATGCCCTGCTGAGATGATCGGCCAATAAATTTCCATGCAAAGGTAAGTGCCCAAGAAAATGGAACATGCCAACCTCTCTCCACTGATGGAAGAGGCAACCTAAACCATTAAAGTTCTCTCTCTTACAATCTGTCCTTCAGACTCCAAAATATACAATTCAATCCTTTAAACTTGTGACAATTTTATTTTTAATAAATAATCCAGACAAAGTTGTTAGATTTAGTTGGGGTACCTTTTAGATTCCATAAATAATGTTCACATATTTACATTATAAATTTAGTGCAGAATTTCAAGTCTTACTTTTTAGATGCCAAATGCTTTTAGTAGAAAGCTTTTTAGATAATAGGATCTTTCTTGTACTATGCATTTCCTTCAGATATAGGGGTGAGTTGAAAGATCAGTACAACACTGCTGATTAGTTTCTTAATTAAGTTATTGTGTTCAAAGAGGGATAAATAAGTACTGGTCACAATTTAAAGGGAAGCAAAAGTGGGTCACAGAACTTGAAAAGGCTGCCCAGTGAAATAAAAACAACAAAATGTTGCAGTTTTCACTCTGGAGAAGTGCTTTTGCGCGTGGCTAGTGGGACTTTTCTCCCTCTCAAGAAATTGACTGGAAATGCTGCACTGAGCTATCATGAAAATGAGGTCAATCAGGGGTATTTTGTAAGGTGGGGAACGAGATTTACAGCAACATAATCAGTTGGCCAGTTCATCATTACAGACTACACGTGTCCTAAATTAGGAGAGCATGAAGCGGGTGGATACATTATGCTATTTCACGGGAAGCAATTTGAGCGAGTTGTTCTTGTTCCAGTTCTTTGAGACTCAACAACACATCTCCCAGGAATCTGTAAATCATCAGCAGGTGATATTGTTGGCTGTCATAGCACAGACAAGCAGAGCTAGTTACAGCTTTTACCAGGCTTTTTTTCTGTTCTTGTTCTTAAAATTCTCCTTTCCAGGAAGCTACAAAACAAACCACAAAACAACCAGTAAAGTAAGACAGCACAAAACAAAATTCCAGAGATAAGAGACATACTGATACTATAGTCTTTCACATCTGTTTAGTGGGCATTGCTGAGCTAAATATCAGTTCTTTACCAGATTAATATACCTATGCCTGCTCTCTCTCTCTGTTCACCTATGTAGCCTCTGACAGTGCAGAATCAGAATGCCCTAGTGTCGGAATCTGTGGGTATTGGTGATTCCGAGATTGTAGAAAGCCTCTGTCTTTCTGCCCCGTTGCCAAAGAAGAAGCCATAATTCGTCTGTGCTGTTTTCAAGGTTGTTTATTTTTGCTTATCTATAACATGTTCTGCTGCCCTGCCGCAGGTCTGTCCTGCAGGGCAGCGTGCGGGGCTCTGCCCCTCAGTGGGATGGTACAAACATTATATACCAGAAATTACGTGTACTATATTTACAATAATGTGCCAATATCTATCATCTACGTTGAATAGTGTGTCCCTAGCCTAAACCAATAGAAAAATGCCAACATCACCAAGAACATGGAGGTAAGGAAGAAGAAGGAGGAAGAACAGGTTCAGGCCCACTTTCCTCCATCTTAGAACTCCTGACCCCCCTGTACAAAGTAAAACCCCCCTGTACAGGTGTTAAAACCCCCCTGTACAATACTAAAAAATTTTACCCTCTAATTTGTGACTACTTTTACTATACCATCTAACCCTCTGTGACTGCTTGTTCCACCTTTAAAGTTGGTAATTCATTCCATGGTTCAAACTCAAAATCACAGCTGTTTTCAGCTGCTTGCCAGGGTCTAAAATGCTTCTGACCAAGGCCTGGAACCTCTGAAAATGTCTGAGGGACATTTTGAGTTCCGACACCCTAGGAAACACCAATGAATGTACCCTCACAGCACCCTTTTGGGGTATCAAAATATAGAGATTAACAGACTTCCCTCAGGACAGATGTAAAATATGTGTCAGAGAAAGGTCCCCTGAATTCTGGTTCCACATAACCACAGCAGAAGCATCTGTTTTACACGGTCCCCCATCTATCTATCAGATAGATACCATAAAAGTACATGTTACTGATTGCTTCTGTGGTCACTGAGGAGGGAACAAGATTTACATCAAAGACAGCTATGTTGGACATGAGGGGAATCTTTTAACTGCAGAGAAATGAGATGCTGGGAAAGGATATTCACAGCAACACTGGTGACTTGTCCTTCAAATAGTTTTTTGAAAAAGGGCTGATAAATAATCCTCAGGAATGGGTCTTTTGAAAGAAGGAATTGCCCTGCTGTGTTCTATGCTGTGGACATGACAGCCTAGGGTATTACCTAGTTTGTTTTGCTGTCTTTAGCTTTGCAGTGCATATCAGGACTTGAGTGGTGACAAGTAGTGGTGACATTTATTATCACCATGATAAAAGAGAAATGGGTTTAAGTCTACTGTGTCAGAAGATATACAAAATTATATAGCCTATGAAGATATTAGAATAAACCAAGAAGCTACAAAGGCCTAGGGACAGTCTCTCTCAGCAATGCTGAAGCATGGTCAGTGGAGCATGAGGGAACACCTCCCTACAAAAGGACTAGGGCTCTGACATGAACTACAGGGAGTATGTAAGGTGTGCTGAAAAATAAAGTAACCTTTATGAATTCTCTCAGCAGCTGATCAGTCAAGAATCTATGAAATGGAAAAGCAAAAGAAATGGCCACATCTGCAGGGAAGATGAGATCTTATGGGTCCAACCCAACCCCTTTTTCAATTCAATAGAGCACTTCCATCTGACTTCAGGAGCTTGGACTTGGCTTCGCCCTTATGAAAAGTGACCCAAATTTCATATTTTATAAGCGTCTGAATTCCTAGGGAATGCCAAGAAATTTAGCACCCTCCAATGGAGTCTCTTGTTACAGCATACTTGTGTGGGATTTCTGAACATCTGGAAGCCTGTCCTGACCCACAGGCATGGACAAATAGTGACTGCACAGATGCACTCAGAGGGCTCTCAACTTTCTTTATGTGTACTGAGCAACTCACAGTGCCCAAACATTAAAACGCAGGTATCACATTTCTGAGCTGGGCTCTCTAGTCAAAAATATATCTGTGCATGACCCCAGCCATCATTTTGCAGTGCATCTTCTTCCCTGTGCTTGTTTGAATGGGGTTTGCCTCTGCCCTATTTATAGAGATAAAATTATTGAAACAGTTGACATAAAGCATGTGTTCTGAATTATTTATGTGTTTTCTAGAGGATTAAAAAAAAAAAAAAAGGAGGAAAAAAAAAAAAAAACCGCCACCAAAATACCAAGCATACCTGCCTATCAATGCAGCAGAAATGGAGAGGATCTGGGAAAAATACAGCCCAGTTCAAAACCATGGTTTGCATGCTGTGAGGGAAATACCTGCTACATCATATATAGGTATGTAAGTTTTCTATGGATTAAGCAAACATCACCATATGCAGCAGGTCAAAAAAAGATAAAACCCTGTGCATGTGTAGAGATACAGATATCTGTCTCCTTCTGCCATTTCTAACAGCATGCAGAGCTAGCAGGATCTGGCACAGAGGAACCAACATGTGCATCTGAATGTGGCCCTGCAGAGATAGATACATTTGTTTGTATGCTTATACTGCATCAGGGGTGAAATATGCAGCTCATTTCTTCTCTTTTGTCTAAGCTGGGAAAGGTTCAAGTCATGAAACCCTGGCAGCATACCACCCATCAGGGCATTCCCTGCATAAGCCTCAAAATCCTCTGAGTAGCCAAGCTGTAGATATATACCTGAGAGTTTCCACAGCCCAGCTCACCATGTTACAAGATCACAGCTGTGATAACTTGATCTTCACTACAGTCTAGGGAGAAATCTATGTCAAGAGCTTTTCAGAGCTATAGGCCTCACTTTTCTGTTCATGAGAGAATCCATTTTTATGTGGCCTTGGTATGTTGCATTTATCTGATGTTCAGCTGTTGCCTTTGCAAACCTTTTGATACAGTGCCTGTAGATGTTCACTAGCCTGTCAAGGATAAAGTGAATACAGGGGAATCTTGGAAAGACATCAAGCAGAGAGAAACCTAGATCACAATAACATGATATCAAGTGCAGATAACGATCCAAACTTATCTAGGGCCTGGGGTTTAGTTGGCCCCTTTCTGTCCACAACATCGATGCTTACAAAAAAACCCCTAAAATTATACACATGCAACTTCTTTGACATTGGCCATTGAGGAATTCATGCTGGTTTTGGTAACTGCTGGGAAAACTGGCCTTTTTGGCATAGAGCTATTAACTTTGCCTCTGGGAAGCAAAGAAAGTGAAAATAGATCAATAACTACAGTTCAAGAGACAGATTTACATGGCTCATATAAATAAAAAACTTGGCCAGGCTTCTCTTATTTCCAATTATTTCATCTTTATAATATCTTTTCAGCTTTACATTAAAGACAGTTCTTATCACAAAAATCAGCCTCAAATCCAAGGCTACATATGGAATATCCTTTACCTAGACCAACCCTTTTTAACCCCATGTCCACCCTTTACATGGCTTAAGCTCTGGTTCGGAGCCAGACACAATTTCCAAGCTGCCCTCTTTTAACAAAAATTTAATCTTTTTTTAAGTTTGCTGACCATAAAGCATTTCTCAGTTTCAATATAGCCTGGCTTCCAGCATGCACCCTGGGGTGACTTCTAGAGAGCCTATCCTAAATTGGTATACACTTTTCAGGAAACAAAGGCAAATATTAGTTGTATAGTGTGACATAACCTTATTAGCCTCTTGCAAGCCCACCTCCTTGCCCTTCTCCCTCTAAGGCCGGAAACCTGTTGCTACAGATTTTTGATACTGGAGTCTGGAATCAGGCATGAGAGTGATGGCGTAAACACACAACAACACAACTACTCTCTGCTCTCATGGTGAGTGCTATGGGGGAGTCTGCCAGCATCTCTGTTCTTACCTTGACAAACATTGCTGCCTGATTATTGAAACCATTTGCAGATCCCCTTTCCACTCACATCATGAGCAAATCCAGACCACTGACTCAAAATCTCTATGCCCTAGGATCCCCTTCCTTCCTGTTTTAACAAGGACAACTTCAAAATCTGGTAGCTCAAAAACTCCCAGTGTTCAGCACAAATTGTTTTAAATCCCAGTGGAAAACAGAATCTTCCATTTCAATAACACAGAGTTTGCTTAAAGAGCTGGCAATTCAGAGGAGATGAACCACAGCTCCTGCCAAGCCTCAGCTGCGCACCACAGCAGCCAGGGCAATGAGTATTTATTTTTTCCCACAGTGGTGGAATTGAGATATCACTCATGTAAATATGTTTCTCCATGTTTTAAATGATATTTGCTAAATGGTGTCTCCCACACTTCAAGAAGCTGAATGCTCATCTTTGTCTAGTCACCTGCTCTGGAATACTTGGATCAGGTAATGAACCTCCAACAAAGTCTTAGATTGGATACCCCTGCTGGCCTTTAAAACACAAAACATTCTCCTAAGGTGATGGAAAGGAGAACCTCGTAAAACATTATAGATAGGAGATGTATAGGTTTCAGTCATCCTCACACATAAGCCCACACTTACAACAATCCATTCCTCTCCCAAAGACCTTCTCTACAGCCTGCTAGGGGTTCATGTTAAATACTGATCTAGCCTCAGTGCCACCCAAAATACTTTTAACACTTTGCTGACTAGCAAAATGCAGGAAAAGTAGGATTATTCTTTGTCACCCCCAGCCCAGTAAGCATCATCCTTAGTCACTCAAGTCCAATATCACAGAATGTCTCAGATCTTCCTTACAGGCAGTGGTTGCTATTGCAGCCCTAGAGGAACCAAATGTATTCCCTTTCTTAGGTGAAAATGCCAGCACCATGAAGAGCCTGCCTTCCCAGAATACTCAGGAGTCAGCACAGTAATCAGCAAGAGCCAGAAGTTTTCTACAGAGCTCCAGATCCAGGACTGCCACTAGGATTTAACAGTGTCCAACATAAGCAGATGTGAC